ATGGATTACACATAAAGGAACTCAGAGTCACTCAGCTGCTTCTTAATAGCCTTCTATATGGTTTCTCTTTGGCTGCCAGCTAAGGTCTGCACCTTTCTTTGGATTTCTCAGCTTTAGGTCAGCAACAGCACAGTCCTCTCTTGTGTTACAGGCTCAAATATAATGACACAGATCAAAGAAGAATAGGGAAGACTAAGAGCAAAAGGAAAAAAGATAGAAGAAATGGAACAGAGGTGAGAGAGGTATCTTATGGTATAAAACCTCAAAATACCAGTCAAAATCTTATCAAAAAAGCTATTCTGAATACTGTGACCATAACGAAAAGTGATTCTTTACTTTCTGATTTCCTATATTGTTGTTAAGATGGGAATTATGAGGAAGAAAAAAATGAATATATGATATACTACGATACTGCATCATAAAATATACTTCTATGAAATTCATTTTGAGCTTTCTCATTTGGTATAGAAATGGTATACTCATTAACATGCTTTGTGTGGTAGAGCATATAGGTACTAAAATATTTATAGAAGACTATACACATTTATACATGTTTTTACTAAAAGTCATATATCAATGATTGTAGGGAGAGCTAACATCTTATTAGGGCATATTCATTTGGGAAAATTAGAATCAACTTTGTATTATTTCATCACACATCTACAGGAACAAAACCTGATATAAGAGTAAAGTCTGATAAAGTTCAACTGAGATACAAAATTACAACCAAGTGCTTAAACAATAACTCTCAGCAATTACCAGGTAACTTTATTGTATTTCTAATAAGTTCTTTTAAAAATGGGTCAATTATCACTATGATAGCTGTTCTTCTATGTGTAAGGAGTGATTGCGAATTTTTATAACACTTATTAAATAAAAACAAGAGGACATTTTTAAAGGAATTAAAGGAACATTAATTCCTTCATAAACGTATACTACTTAAGCTCTGCTTTAAAAGGTCTCTCCATGTGCTCTTGGCAACCAGTTAAGGGTGTGAATACACAGTATAAATATCAATAAATGTCATAATCATGGCTGGGCATGGTGGCTCAAGTCTGTAATCCCAGAACTTTGGGAGGCCAAGGTGAGGGCAATGCCTGAGCCCATGGGTTCGAGACCCGCCTGGGCAACTTGGTGAGACCTCATCTCTACAATAAATCAAAAAAATTAGCCGTGCGTGGTAGCTCACACCTGTAGTTCCGGCTACTTGGAAGGCTGAGGGGGAAGGATCGCCTGAGCATGTCACTGCACGCTAGAGTGGGTGACGAAGTGAGACTCTAACTAAAAAAATAAAAAATAAAATGTAATCACAATAGCAAGTCAAATTCCATGGATCAGTGAGAATTTTAAGTAAAATGGGAATAGATCATGATGTATTTCCATATAGGATGCATCTTACTGAGTGTGCAATGATCAACTGTATCAATTCTCTATTTAATCACATTTTTTTCTGAGATTATAAGGGTATAAAATTCCCATCAGTATACATTGACAAATTACATGTTGTGGTCCAGATTTTTAGAACGTTAATACTAACATTCTTCACATTTCTGTGAAAGTACAATGGAAGACACCAAAAGATGATTTGCTACGAAAAGACCTTATTTGCTTTAAAGGAAAAAAATGTGAAAATTCAAGACTCAGCTTTACTTAGGATATTCTGGACTATCGTGCTTTGGTCAAAATGTTTATTTTTTCCCCCTTTTGCAAGAATCAGCCATGAGCCAGAAGCAACGTACTAATACAACTATACCCTGGTACATGTATATGTTCTTTTCTAAAGGTTCAAATGAGGAATTCTGAAAACAGCCTTCGTGCATTAAACAAATGCTAGTAATAGCAAAGCTTTGCAATATTCATATCCAAATAGTGCTATTTTTATGATATATCAAATATATCATATTATATTCATCTTCAGTGACTACACCTGTCATTTAGAATCTTTTTCCTAGCAATAAGATGTACAAGAAGTTTTTAAACAATAAATTATGTCTTAAAAGAGTCCATTGGAAATTTGAGAGTAGATGTGGAAGTTTTCTGAATCATATAATTATTAAAAAAAGATAACCCCATATATGCCTATATTCAGTCTTAGTAGCAATAAGCTAAAAGGCAGAAAGGTAGAGTCACTGCACCCCAAATATGTGTGAGTGTTCCCCCCTCTTTATCTATGCATGCCTCTTTGGGTGTCTCCATATTTTTCACCGTAAGGCTCTTTATCCAATGTTGACCCTAATGCCTGCTGTTTCTTTCCCCAATGATAAAATGCCTTCTTCTCTAAAAAGTACTTGTGAAACTGTAAGGGGGAAGAAGAGTGGAAATAAACTGTATAGCTGTACTTTATCACTGTATAACTATATAAAAAGTATAACTATACTTTATAAAAGTCCACAGGATTAGTTTTAACATGATGAATACATGTTTTAATTTTACCTCTAACATGTACAGTAATATTTACTGTAAAAGGATGATAAAAGCACAAAGCTGAGGATGAAAAGGGCTATCAGTTGAGCTACACATTTTTTGGGGGGCAGAAATTGAAAAACTAAAAGGGAATTTCTGAAAAAGAAGAAATAAATAAAATAATATGACGAAGGGGACAGAAGTCTTAGAAGCTGATGATCAAAGAATAAGGAGATGCAGCTAGTGAAGATAACATGCAAATGAGAATGAAGATCTGCAAGGAGCACCTATGGCAAGAGTTAGAGAGAAGTATAAGAAAACAAGATTTCAAAGACAGAAACCTAGGAAGTGACATCTGACTTGGTATCTATAGTGACCAAAGGTTTTTAAAGAAGCCAAAAAGGTCTTAACTGGAAAGGATTTTAGTTTGCCCAGGGACCGAAAGGACTCATGACTAGGAGAAAGAAGGTTAGATCTAGCTCTAGGATGAGGGCACAATGAAGAGAAGGATACAGCCGGACTCAGTGACTCAGCCTCTAATCCCGCGCCTTGGGAGGCTGAGGTGAGTAGATTGCCTGAGCCTGAGGGTTTGAGACCCGCCTGGGCAACTTGGCGAGACCTCATCTCTACAATAAAAAAATGAGCCGTGCGTGGTGGCGTGTACCTGTAGTTCCGGCTACTTGGAAGGCTGAGGTGGAAGGATCACCGGAGCCCAGTGGGTCGAGGCTGCAGTGGCCGGAAGCGGCCACTGCACTCCAGTCTGGGCAACAGAGTGAGACTCCAACTCAAAAAATAAATAAATAAATAAATAAATAAATAAATAAGAGAGAAGGATGCAAGGCGAAGGGCAAAAGGAAACAGTATTCACTGCAACGACTTCAAGACTGGTTGTACAATGTGAAACATTCTCTACACTAAGATGTGTGCGATTTGTTTCTTGAATTCAATTAAATTACTATTTTTATGGGTCACTGACCCTTGAAACAAGAGGTCCCCTACATTACATCCAAAGTTAAGGAAGTCAAATAGTGCATAAAAGGACTAGCAAAGCTTTCAGTATTTTGTGCCACATGGGCGCCCTTATTAAATATCAAACACTAGAGGTTTACTTTTTATATGGAATAATCAAATGAAATTTTAATGGTAGCCTTTATTATTTCACTTTTCATACCTTTTTGTTGTTGCTGTTGTTCCTTGCCATACATTTTGGAGAAGACATGACAACAGTTTAATACCAAAAAAAGTAGGACTCAATATGCCCCCAATAAGCAGCTGCTCATGAAGATAATACTTCCAGTCACTGGCTTAGAGAGCAAGATTCTGAGATTAGTGCTGGGCCTAGGCCTGACTTCTCAACCAAAAAAGTTACTTCCCCTTTAGTATAATGAATTGCAGAAGTACAGTTAAACAGTTTTCTATGAGAGCTTATTAGCACACATATGATATGCTGGGTGAGCAGAGATACTGATATTTTCGTTGCCAGTGACCAAAATATTTACAAATTTCAGAAAATGGAAAGAAGTGTCTAAAAAATTAATAAGATCTGTTTCACAAATTACCAATTCAGCTGGAACACTGAATAGTAGAAATGACAAAAGATTTGTTCTTATGGTTGATAAAAAATTTATATCAGGGCATTCAAGTAAAGTTATTTTCTGTGTTCTGATTTAATGAATCATGTGAGTTGTATCTGGTTGGGTGACACAGATTCTGGCTCATTGAAGCCTACTCTAATGCTTCTCAGCATAGCCATCCTTGGGACAGTAAAGCCAGAATAACATGTCAGACTGAAGTAAAATCAAAGATAGAGAAAGCAGGGCTGGAGATGCTATGAGGCTGACTCACAGCACTTCTTGACCTGTGAGTGTCTGGTAAGTTTTCAATGTCCTGTGGGCTTCAACGGCCTAACAAGCATGAAGTAGCAACAGTAATGCAGTAATGACTGGGCCGGGGAAGAAGTTTGCAATTAAAGCTGAAAAACACTACACCTATTACATGTTTTTAACCCTTTTGAAAAATAGCCGTAGAAGCCACTAGTGGTTTCTTAAAAAGTAAATGAGTGCTAAATGTTTTATATATACTTGTGATAAGCATCAACTACTTAGTTCCTTTAAATCCGTTAGATTTAAAGTGTACGCTAATTTGGGCAATATAAATTTTCTGATGCTATTAATGATAAAGTATATAGAAGGAAAATGAAAAAGCTTTAGATATATAAAAATACAGACCTAAAATATGTAAACCCATTCAATGTTAAGAAAATGGACTATTAAAAATGAAACTAAAGGACCATTCTATATATATCTCACATGGGATAATCTTCTCTTCTAAAAGATGCTAACAAATAGTACTTGTGAAGAAAAAGGTCCTCATAAGAAAGGATGGTACAAGATATAAAGAAAATCTTTACAGTTTATCAAAGTATGGAATTTCACTCTGCATAAAAATTATTTTATCACATAGGAAAGGAAAATAAGGCACAAAATAAACATACATTATCTTCCAAGACAGTTTATAAAATCAGTGAATAACTTTGTTTTTCCTTAATCAAAATTACTCATATTTAGTACTGAGTTAAAATCTGAAAGATTACTTACAATGACAATACCACCACAGCGATTAAAGTCCACTCCGCAGGTTTGTGAATAATATTTCTATTTGTTAACCTGAAAGATAGATCAAATTTACCAAAGGATTACTATATTTAGATAAACCATCTATTTTTAGATGGAATAAGATTTATAGTATGTGTCAAATAAGCACTTTTAAAAAATACTTGTTATATTTGACGGGAAAGAGTGAACAGTATAATAATTTCTCAAAAGGAAATGGTCCAGACTCACTTTTATATATTTATAACAATATTACTACTCATTAAAATGAGAATATAGAACAATGTGGGAAATTAAATTGCATAGCTGATTAAAACACAGCCCCTCCAATAGCATCCTCTATGCTTTCCCCTAATCAAACATTTTATTAAAGCTAACAAAGTAAGCAATTTCTTTTCCTTTTCTTTCTTTTCTTAGAAATGGGGGTCTCGCCATGTTGCACAGGCAGGGGTGCAATGGCTGTTCGCAGGTGTGATCATGGTGCACTGTAGCCTTAAACTCCTGGGCTCAAAAGCGATCCTCCTGCCTCAGCCTCCTGAGGCGCTGGGACTACAGGCATGTACCAGTCTGTCCAGCTTAAGGTAAGCAACTTCTAGTTTTAATTTTACGTCATCTTTTGTACCGTTCCACCTTGTGCTAATCATAATCCATAATGCACAGAAATGCATGTTAGCTTAGTAAATTGTGAGAATAGGTCTTTTACACCTTTCCACCTTGTGCTAATATAATCCATAATTCACAGAAATGAGAGTTAGCTTAATAAATTGTAAGAACAGGTCTTTATTTTAAAAAGTTACACTTTAAAAAATCGGAAGTAAATTTTATCACTTAGCTGTTGATGGCAACACAATACTCTATAGTCATCTTAGTTTCTCAGAAAGATCACTCTAAATTTACAAATGATATAAACCAATAAGAAAATGTCAGCCAATAAACAAATGGCAAAGGATATGAGCAGGCAATTTATAGAGGAGGGAAGTTGAAATGGCCAATAATATTTGAAAGGAGCTCAATCTCACTAGTAATCTGGAAAACTAATATAATAATAATTCACTTCATCAGACTGGAAAAATGAAAGACTGCCTTTTACACACTGTTGATGTGAGCAACTGAACAACAACTTGCCAGTATCTAATAAAGCTGAAAATGCATATAAACAGCCCAGCTATTCTACTTCTAGATACAAAGCCTAAGAAAATTCTCACTTATGCAAGGAGATGTGTATGAAGATTATTAGTGTAACGTCTTGTAAAAGGGGGAAAGATACATGGTTACATTTATAAAATATGAAATGGCTATTAAAATGAATGAACTACACTGACATATTTTGCTCATTATAATTTTAAATCAAAGCAAGCATGATATGACATTTTTTATATGAATCAAGAACAGGCAATACTAAACATTGTGATTTTTTTTGAGTTGGAGTCTCACTCTGTTGCCCAGGTTGGAATTCAGTGGCACGCTCACCGCCACCACAGCCTCAACCTGCTGGGCTCAGGCAATCCTTCTGTCTCAGCCTTCCACGTAGCTGGAACTGCAGGCACGCGCCACCATGCTCAGTTAATTTTTTGATTTATTGTAGAAATGAGGTCTCGCCAAGTTGCTCAGGCTGGTCTTGAACCCATGGGCTCAGGCAATCCTCTCACCTTCGTCTCCCAAAGTGCTGGGATTATTGGCGTGAGTCACCATGCCTGGCCTTTAATACTGTTTATGGATCTATATCTATATCAATATATCTACATCTGTTTCTATATCTATGCAGTCTAAGTACTAAAACAAAGACTGGAATATGAATACACATTTACTTCACAGTACCAGTTGCTACTGGGGAGGAAAGGAAAATGGATTGGGAAAGGGAACAGGGGAATTCATGTCTTCCTCTGTCTTTGTATCAGCTATTCCATCCATCTGAGACTATCTTCCCCCAGGTAAATTTCCTTATGTCATCTTTGCAGTAAGGCCTATCTGGACTACCCAATTAAAAAGTGCAATTTACCTTCTACCTTCCAGCCTAATACTTCTAATCTCGTTACCCTGCTATATGTTTTTCATTTTTTTCCCATACCACTCATCACCTTCTAACTTGTAATTATTATTTATTACCTGTTTTCTCTTGCTAGAGGGCAAGAATCTTTGTGTACTTCACCTACTTATTCCAAGTGCTCAGAACAAGTGCCTGGCAGTCAGTACACATTTAAAAAATTATGTATATTCATGAATATATATAACCAAAAAAATGTATACACATTTTAAGTGTGACGTTTGCTCAAGAGATCAAATGAATTCATTTAATCAAATAAATGCTAGAGTCACCACGCAACAGGCAGGACAGTCAAAGAAAATGGTTACACATTGCTACTATAATCAACTCAACTTCAAAAAGTAATACATAGATAAAATCTCTTAAAATGTGTATACATTTTTTGGCACACACGCTCATATACACACATACACACACACATTTTTTGAGTCAGGATCTTACTCTGCCATCCAGGCTACAGTGCAGTGACATGATCATGGCTCACCAGAGCCTTGACCTCCTGGGCTCTGGTGATCCTTCCATCTCAGCCTCCCAAGTAGCTGGAACTACAGGCATGCACCATTACATATGGCTAATGAAAAAATTTTTCTTTGTAGAAATGAGATCTCACTACGTTGCCCTGGATCGTCTCAAATTCCTGGGTTCAAGCAATTCTCCTGCCATAGCCTTCTAAAGTACTGGGATTATGGGTGTGAGCCACTGTGCCTGGTACAAGTAATATTCTTTTGAATGAATAAATGAAGCTATGTTTTCTTTTATTTAAAAATGTACATCTGATTCAAATTTTAGAAAATGTTAAAATCTATAAATTCTGAGTGAAAGATTTATTTTGTTACATTAATCTTAATTTTTCCCATAGTTAAAAAATTTTTTTTAATTAAAAAAACCCTAGCCAGGCTCAGTGGCTCAGCCTATAATCCTGCGCTTTGGGAGGCTGAGGTGAGTGGACTGCCTGAGCCCGCGGGTTCGAGACTCGCCGGGCAACTTGGCGAGACCTCATCTCTACAATAAAAAAATAAAAAAATCAGCCGGGCATGGTAGCGCGTTCCTGTAACTCCGGCTACTCAGAAGGCTGAGGCGGAAGGATCACTGGAGCCCAGCTGGTAAAGGCTGCAGTGGAGCGGCCACTGCACTCCAGTCTGGGCGACAGAGTGAGATTCCAACTCAAAAAAAAAAAAAAAAAGCCTATACCCAGATCTGTCCTTGGCAGTGTTTTACTTTGGACACATTATTTCATGACTGTAAAACTTTTTTTTTTTAGTTTGGTAAAATAAGGACAATAATACCACCTACCTCACAGAGTTCTTGTGAAAATTAAATGTACAAAAGACATCCATGTTGCCTAATCCAACTGACATTTCTCAATTCTCATCTTTATCTATCTACCATTTGACACAGTTAAATACTCCTTTCTCTGTGGAACATGTTCTTCACTTGGTTCTCACCTGGCTCCCTCTCTCTCTCTTTTTTTTTTAATTTTTAATTTTAAAGATGTGGGGTACAATTCAGGATTAGGTATACAAATGTTCATTATGCAGGTACCCTTGTTGATGAGGTATGCCCCCCCAGCAGATTCCCACTACTCCACTACTGCCAATCCCCCCCTCCCAGCACCTCCCCCCCCACCAGCAGTTTCCTACTACTGCCAATTCTTTTCTTGTTGTCTTACGATAATTGTTCAAGGTCTGCTTATGAGTGAGAACATGTGATACTCAGTTCTTTGTTTATATGAGAGATCACTCAGTATTATAGACTCTAAGTCCATCCAAGTTGCAGTGAAGTTCATAATTTTGTCCTTTATGGCTGCGTAATATGGTTCCCTTTCTTACTGGTACTCTCTTTCTCAGACCTTTTAATATTCATGTGTCCCAGAGCCTCTGCCCTTAGGTCTCTTCTCTTTTCTGTAAACGTGTATTCCTTTGGTGATGTTATCCAATTTTATGGCTTTAAATATTAGATAACTATTTGCTGACAGCTCTCAAATTCATTATCTCTATCCTGGATCTCTTCCTTGAATTCCAGACTTCTATATTTGATAGTCTATTTGACATTTCTACTTGGCTGTCTAATAGGCAACTCAAAACTTAGTACAGCTAAAAGTGAGTTATTCACTTTCTCCCCATAACTGAGTCCTCCTGTGGATACCGCCATCTCAGTAAATGGCTTACCCTAACCAGTTGCTTAGGCCAAAAATCTTGTGGTTAAACTTGACTCATGCATGTCCCATGCCAACCAGTCATCAAGTCCTGAAGAGCCTATCTTCAAAATAGGATCTGATCACTTACTACTTTCACTTTGGTCCATACCATTTCTTGCCTAGATTACCAAAATAGCCTCTTTATTGGTCTCCCTGCCTCTGCCCATCTGTTGTAACTCTCAACTTGGCAGCCAACATGATACTGTAAAAAAATGTGTTAGATCATGTCATTCCTTTCTTCAAAACCCACCAATTGCCCTCCATCTTATTCAGAAAAGTCAAATAATTACCACGGCTATTAATCTGCATGATACCAACCCCCACTCCATACTTCTCTGACCATGCATCTCTCTACTCTTGCCTCTGTTTATTTCTTAAGCCTCACCAGCAGCCTAGATATCCTATTGAATACACCAGGCCTGCTACTGCTTTGGAGCCTTTGCACCTGCTGTTCCCTCTGTTGGATATATTTTCACAGACAGCAGCACAGCTTGCTCCCTCACCTCCTTTTAGATCTTTACACAGATGGCATCTTCTCAATGAAGTCTTCCCTGACTAGCCTAGTTAACACTGCAACTTTCTCCCTCCTTAGTACCATCCTGTTTCCCTGCTTCTGGGGAGACAAGGAGGAGAATGGATAGGGAAAGGGAAAAGGGCATATTACCACATAAGATGGACATTTTATTTTTTTAAAATTATATATTCCCTCTATCCGAATGCAGGTTCAATGAGTGACAGGATTTGTCTGTTTTGTTCACAGATGTCCCTGCAGCAAATAAAACAAAATCTAGCATATAACCAAAGGAGCTCAAA